CTGGCACCTAGAGCGACAGCCTCACCAGCACCTGGAGCAGCAGCCTCAACAGCACCTAGAGCCGCAGTACCAATGCCCGGGCCGGGCGGGAAACACCGGTAACAGTCAGCCTCCTCACTAATAGTCACAGCATACATGGCAGCAAGAATAGCATCAAAGTCAAGATCAAAGATAGCTACTCCTGCCCTAGACAGCTGGTCCCAGCGAGGGATCTCAGAGGCGTCAGGAAACTGGCGGCGCCAAGCGTCAGTCAGGCGGCCGAAGCAGCGCTGGGCGAGGTGTGGACCACCACACGGCTCACCCGCACGGTCGCCCGTGCGCAAGACGTAGGTGCACGGACCAGTACCCCCACCCCTCTGACGTGCAGCGTACCACTCACGGAGCTGCTGCGGGGAGAGGGTCTCCTGACCACGCTGCTGCCGCTGCTGTTGGCGCTGACCGCCACCGGAGCCACTCCTCTGCGACGAGCCACGACCTCCTCCGCCGCCTCCTCCGCCGCCGCCGCCACCACCTCCGCTGCCACCGCCACTCCCACCGTCGATGCCGCCACCGCCGCCTCCGCCTCCACCCCCACCACCACCGCCGCTGCCACCCCCGCCTCCACTGCCGCCGCTGACACCTCCACTCCCGACACCACTCCCGCTACCACCCCCACCTCCTCCGCTGCCTCCACCGCCGCTCCCACCGCCCCCGCCGCCTCCACCACCGCTCCTGCCCCCTTTGCCCTTGCTAGAGCGACGTCTCCCACTGGGGGCAGACGCCGCACCGACCGACTCAAAACCAACTAGGTCGGCCGTAGCAGCAGAGGCGACAGAGGGTAGGAGGGGGGAGGGGGAACACCCCTCAAAGATGGGGGTGCGCGGGTCACCACGAGAGGCCCCTACAGCGAGAATGCTCTTCTCGGCTGCTAGGAGGGACTTCTCGAGGATGTTAACAGTGAGAGTGGTGGGGCAGACTGAGAGTAAGTCGTCCCTGACTCCTCGGAGGGAGTCAGGGAGGCGGGTGACAATGTAGTAGAGAGTGAAGTACTGGGGGGGGGGGGTTCTTGGCGCAGAACTCAGCAGGAGGCGCAGCGCGGAAGCGAGCGTCACTAGTGCGCAGGTGGGTAATGAGGTTGGCGACTGTGGCAAAAGAAGCAAGGTCGGGAAAGAGGTACGGCAGCATGAGGCGGCTCAGTGCAGCAGTGGCAGGGGTGGAGTAGCGTGCAATAACGGCGTCGTACAAGGTCTGAGCACTCTTGTACGACCCAAAGTGTGCACGCTCAGAGGGAGGGAGGTGGCGACGCACAGCAAGACGTGCAGCAGCATCGCGTGTGGCCCACACTGAGCGAACAGTGGCATCCTCAGTAGCAGCAGGGGCGGGAGAGGCACCAGAAGTGAGATCAAAGAGAGAGAGGGCGTCAGCTCTGTCGCACTGTAGGAAAAGCAGCAGGTCGTCTACCCACACGTCAAAGTCTATGGCTCTGCCCTCAGCGTCGAAGGTGAGAACACTGGGGGTAGCCATGACAGCAGTAGGGTGAGGGCAGTGCGCAGAGTAAAGCTCAGTGCTCACCAGACAGGGCAGTGCAGGCGGCTCGGGCGGCTCGGGCGGCTCGGGCGGCTCGGGCGGCTCGGGCGGCTCGGCGGGTCGGCTGCTGGGCGGCTCGGGCGGCTCGGCGGCTTGGGCGGCTCGGGCGGCTTAGGTGCTGGGGCGGCTCGGCTGCTGGGGCGGCTCGGTTGCTGGGGCGGCTCGGCTGCTGGGGCGGCTCGGCTGCTGGGACGGCTCGGCTGCTGGGGCGGCGCAGTTGCTGGGGTGGCGGGGCCGGGATGCAGCTGCGGGGCCGTTATGGGGAGTGGCGGGGCCAGTAGGTGAAGCGGCGGGGCCGTGAGGTACAGTAGCGGGGCCGGCAGGTGAGACGGCGGGGCCTGCAGATGCAGCAGCGGGGCCGTCAGGGGTAGCGGCGGGGCCGGTAGGTGCAGTGGCGGGGCCGTCAGAGGGGACGGCGGGGCCGTTAGGTGCAGCGGCGGGGCCGTCAGAGGGGACGGCGGGGCCGTCAGGTGCAGCTGCGGGACCGTCTGAAGCAGCGGCGGGGCCGGCAGAGGGGACAGCGGGGCCGTCGGGTGCAGCGGCGGGGCCGGCAGAGGGGACGGCGGGGCCGTCACGCGCAGCGGCGGGGCCGGCAGAGGGGACGGCGGGGCCGTCAAGCGCAGCGGAGGGGCCGGTAGAGGGGACGGCGGGGACGTCGCAGGCGATCGCGGGGCCGTCAGCGACGGCGCCGGCGTCGCGAGGGTCAGAGGGGGGGCGGCGCGCGACTGGAGGGCGGCACGCGCGATGCGGCGCGGCCGTCTAGGGGCGGCGCGACGAGGCCGCGTAGGTGGCGCGTCAGAATTTCGCGGGCGGCTCGACGCGATCGGGCCGCCAAAGGAAAAAAAAAAGGCCCAGCGCGACTCGGGCTAGGGCAGAGCGCGCTCCGGGCAGGACGGAATAGTAGGTGGGCCCTAGGAACAGTTCCCACTAGGGAACCTGCTCGATACCATGTTGAGATAGAGGCGAGGAATGAATGCACTATGAAATGAAACAAGTACAAGTACCAACCCTAATTGGGTTGTGCCCCCTATGGGCTACCCCACTACAGCCTAAATATATGCATCAGTAATATAATCATCTGACAGTTCGGACGTGCTGCAAATCACATACGCTCGCATGAACGTGCGCACGCACGTTCCCGCCTCCGACTCGAGTCAAGTTCATATTTCAAACTCGAACTTTTGCAGAGCCCATACAATGCTTGGTTCGCGAAGCACCCTTCGCGAAATTAGCGAATAGGGTAACCACCCAAAGTTCGAACTTTATTTTGAACTTCTAAACAGACCACACGCGCCCTTAGATCCCGGGACCTCATCCTTCGGAAGTGGACCAGCTAACTAGCTGGGCCACTTCAGGATAGCCTTCGAGAAAGGGGAATTTCCAAACCACCTTGGGTGAGGAGGGAGATGAGGGAGTGCTCAGCGTAACTTCTCCACCCCAGCCCAGGATTCGTCCCTCCAGCGTCAGACTGCAGTCTCGAGAATGCCGAGGCTGGTCTGCCATGACATGTGAACCACAGTCGGCTCAAAATCGCTGGTTCCACCGATAGCCTGGCGAATCACAAACGCTGGTTTCGGTTTGTTACCAGCCTTGATTGAAATCGCGAATGTCCAAGTTCCAACCTGCTCGGCGCGCTTGGGCGCAGAGTGAAAGCAAGTGTCGTCACATCGTCAAGTTCGTTGCTTTGCTTGTTGCCGAGCTATGGCGCTCAACCTTTGCCAGCTGGAATAGGAAGAGCAATGCTTTTTGGTTGCTCCTAGCATCCGATCCGATTGCCTACCTCCTAGACTGTCACTTCCGTGATACTGGAAGTATATTCTTGCTGTTCCCTCCCATTCTAAGCCCCACGCTCTAGCCGATAGTGTGACCCACCTCTCCTTCCCAAGCCGCGTACAGAGAAATTTATCATCCCCCGTCACAAATTACTATGATTTGTTTTTCTTGGTCACGAGATACCAAATTCTTTTGGATTTTCTATTGCTCATGTTCACATATCAGCTAATTATTGGCTGTTCACATGGCAGTGGCTAGACTGACAGCATCGCTGCCTAAATAGCGAACACAAACGGGAGATTTCTCACCCACACGTACCTTGGAGTGAACTTTGAATCTGAGGATAGCCCAGCTTCAGTTTCAGAAGAGCGACTGGAAGCACGTAACCGCGGTGGCGGATCATGCGAGCCAAGGCGGAGGTTGGGTCTTCTGTTACTGGTGGCGGCTCGGCGACCGACAGTGAAGCCGCAGGTTCCGCAAATTATTATCAGTCACGTTGGCAAGATTAGCGGCCCTGGGCAAGCACAACAGGAAAACGATGGAGATACAAATAATGATATAATTGGGTAAAATAATTTGGATAAACAAGGGGAGGGAGACGGAGAGGGAGAAGGAGTGGCGGAGGCAGCAGGCGCAGCGGCAGGCAACAAGACAGGTGGCGGGGGCGCCTTCAAGCAGCGCAAGCGGCGTTGGGGGGGTGTAGGGTCGGTGGCGTTGGGGGGGTGTAGGGTCGGCGGCGTAGCGAGGGGGGTGGAGGGCGGGTGGAGGGCGTGAAGGGGGAGCGGGCGCCTTCAAGCAGCGCAAGCGGCGTTGGGGGGGTGTAGGGTCGGTGGCGTTGGGGGGGTGTAGGGTCGGCGGCGTAGCGAGGGGGGTGGAGGGCGGGTGGAGGGCGTGAAGGGGGAGCTGTTTTTGGGCTGGTGGGGAGTTGACAAGCTCGAATTCGCCAAGGTGGTAGACGGGGGGTGAGGCTGATGTGTGTGAGAGGTTGTGTGTGAGAGGCATTGCGATGTGTGAGAGGCGTTGCGATGTGTGAGAGGCGTTGCGATGTGTGAGAGGTGTTGCGATGTGTGAGAGGCGTTGCAATGTGTGAGAGGCGTTGCAATGTGTGAGAGGCGTTGCGATGTGTGTGTGAGAGGCGAGGTGTTAGAGGTGATGAGGTGTCGCCATGGGACGGGAATATGTGTAAGAGTTACTCCAAGGACTGTGAGGGACCATTGAAGGGAGGGTTGCTGATGGGGCCGGCGGAAGATATAAAAGACGCATTGTAGCTCCGAGGGGAGTTGTAGTCTTGTAGAGGACCCTCCTCAAAACCCTGCAACTCTCCCCTCCCACTCACTCATGCCCCAAATCCTCCCTTCCCACCCCTCCGCTCATCCCTGACCCATCCAGCTCCGCTCTGCTCCTGCTTGCTGTTCTCACACCCTTCCATTCCACCCACTCGCACTGCCACGCCGCTTGCCAATGCACCAATTTAAGAATTATATCAATCCCTCCCACAGTCCCCTCCCTTTCCCCTTGCGATCTCACCTTTCATTTACCCCCTCCCCCACCTTTAACTCACCTCTCCTCCCTTTAGCCCTGCCTTTACCCTTGCCCTCTCAATGCCTCTCTGTACAACTCTCCCCTTTCCCCTTCCCTTACCCCTTTTTCTCCCCTTCCCTATGACCCCTCTCCCTTTCTTTACCCCTCCCCTTTCTCCTTACCCACTCTCCCTTCCTGTACTGTACCCCCTCCATTTACCTGTACCCCGTTCCCTTTCCGTTTCTTTTTCTCCTTCCCCCTCCTCCACCCCTCCCGTGGCCGCAGCTTCCTACTGCGAATGCACACACTCCATCCGAATGGCTGGGCCTGCCATGCGTGAGTGCAATGTGAGGTGTGCGTATGCGATGTGAGGTGTGCGTGTGCAGGCATCACCACGCACGAGTGTCAAGCCGGCTGATCATTGCACCTCTCTTCGTCGGGATAATGCCTCGTCGGGATGATGCCTCGCACCCACTGCTGCACCACTGCCTACTAGTGGCGCCGTAGCCAGAATAGTAAGGATTGCCCCCCCACCTGTGCGCCCGCATCTCCTACCCGCCCACTTGTCACCTGCCTATCTGAACCCTCCCTGCTATCCTTCCCACCATGGCGTTCATTCCCTCCTTCCCTACTCCGTCTCTCCCCACTCCACTCCCCTCCACCTCCGCACCTGAAACTCCTTGCTCACGTCTGCCTGCCCCACTGCACTCACTCCCTCCCGCCACTTCTCTCATCTCCGCACCGGCTTCTCGTGAGCGATTTTTTAGGATTCTCATTCCGTGCACCTGCTTCTCCTGCACCAACTGCTGGACCCACGGCAAAGACTCCTTTCCTCTGCACGGACTGGTGCCCCTACGGCACTGTCTTCCGTACACCTCTAATGAACCACTGTGCTGTTCACTATTGCGCCCCTCTCCCCTCTCCCCTTCCCCACTGTCCCCAGCTCCGCGTGTTCTTCCCCTACACCGACGCCCACTCCCTCACGGATTCACCACCTTCTGCCCAAGGACTCACGAACCCTCTGGCGCAGGCGCACCGTTCTCGGGGCAACCTGTGCGGAAGCTGATGACATGGCGGAGGTGTGCAGGAGGCGGGTAGCTGCTGCTGGTTGCCCCATGGCGGTGCTGTTCCCCCGCAGACGAGCATCAGGAGGAAGCGATTCGTTGTGGCTGTGGATGGGGTAGCGGGCTGCTTGATACTCATCATGAGTTACTGGCTGTCACGTGTGGGGTGAGCTGGGCTAGGCTGCTGGGTGTCCTGAAGCGGTTCCCTTCTTCAGTGAGGAGCAGCGGGAGATGGTGGTGCGTGGGGCGAGGAGGGAGGTGTGGGCTATGACGGGTCACTGCTGCGGGTCATCGGTGGGTGAAGAGGGTGTGTGGGTGGTGCGAAGAACGTGACCTAATCATGGGTCACCAGTGGAACACTCTCAGGTCACTCTCACTTAGGTTTAAGGTGGAAGGCGCTTTTGCCACAATGTCCAAGGGACTTCAATCAGAGGGAAGCTTTGATCTTTCTCGCGACTTCCATGTCTGCGCTCAGCTTGCGTGGAAGAATGAATGCGAGCGGCGCCACTTTCCCGAGTGCAATGCCGTCAGCAATCTTCCACTCCCCCCCCCCCCCGGGTCAGCAGCAAACTTCTACCTTCTTAGCTTTCGCCCAAACCCCCCCTACTCCCTTCCCCTTGCCACACCAACAGCTCCCGCAATGTACTGGGCCCAGCTGATCGCCTTTCGAGGCACCTCAAAATCTGCTGCGACATGCAACCGGGCTGCATGGCAGAGCAGAGCCACGGGCAGCAGAAGCACCAGCGGTGGTCGCAATGACGCCGGACTGTGGCGAGTGGGTGGAGGAGGGCAGGGCAGGAGGGAGGCGTCGAGTGGGTGGAGGCGGGCAGGGTAGGAGAGAGGCGTGTCAGCAGAAGCCGTGGGTATGACATTGACGCAGCGTGGGCTTAGCTGCACGCTGCTCATTGCATGTTGTCATGCGATGGGGTGTGGCGGGCGTGTTGGTCTCAGCTCTGTGTGGGGGTGCCAGGTGCCGGGGGTCCCACACGGAGGTGAGAGGCCGAGTCGGATGGGATGGCCCAGTCGCCCTGCCCCATCCCAATGGCTGCAAATTCTGACCCTAATCTGCTCCATTCTAACTTCTTCCATCCATTGCTTGGCAAGAAAGACTGCTTGCTGTTAACAACTTTTTTGGGATGAAAAGCATGTGACGAGCGTCTGCGCCTGCCTTCCTTTCGGTGCGTCATCGCCTATCTCGCCCGGTATCATGGCGGTTTTGATGCCGGTTTGTTGACGCGGCGAAATGTACCTAAGTATATAATCCCGTGCATCTTATTCCAGTGCTGGCTCTCGCTGCCGTGTAGTCCGTGGGCGGATGCAGCTGCAGCGTGCCAGCAGGTGGAACATGGGGGCTCCCAGCTAACGGTATCTCAGCTTACAATTCTCCTCCCATGCCCGGCAGAAGCATGGCAATCAGCGTTAGGGTGCCAAACGCGGAGGTGGGTGGAGCGAGCTACAAGGCAACTTCTCCACGAAGGAGCTTTGAACCTTTGTGTATTTCTCTGTTTGCACCCTCACATTTTTTAGCACTTCGTACATCATTTTTGGCGCTACTTTTCTATGAGATGCCATATATCTGAGCGCTGCCTTTTGAATCAACAAATTCGGGAGTCTACTTTTGAGTTCGCGACGTGTGTCGCCAACTCAAGATTTATGGGTCTTTCTTTTTAGGGGAGGGAGGGGGCGGCAGCCTGAGCAAATTTTAGCGTTTTTCAAAGTGTTTTCTCGTACAGCATGTATACGCCAGCGAACATACGTATTTTCCAGCTTAGCTGCCGTTTCACGCGCAATACCATCAGATGCCATCTGCCCACCTCCCCCATCCTCGCTCTGCACTCTTTCTCCCCTCCTCCCCTTCCCACATCAACAGCACTATCCTGAACTAGTGAGGACCCATCTCAAACACTGGGAGACACAGTATGGAAGCGTGGCAGATTCACCGAGACTACATAAGCTATCTTTTATTCCCCCTTCCTCGCTCACCAGTATGTTCCTACCCACTTCACCACTTGCCCCACTCCCATCCCCCCCTGCCTTCCCATTCCACACCAATAGCACCTGATCTTTATTAGCAGTGAGAGGAGGAAAACAGAGGTATGGAGGGGACGAGCGACAACTGGTGAGAACTGGTTTCGAAGGGGAGAAGATGGAGACGAAGGTTTTACGAAAGGTAGGGAGGGAGGGCGGTTTTAAGGTAGCAGGAGTCATGGAAATGAGATTGTGGATGGCCTTTCATCTGACGGCACGCAGGGCGACGTGCCATTGCAGAGGTGAGAGAAGCCGAGTAGGCGGAGATATCTGAATAATTTCCTCACCCTATCCCTCTTCTTCCATCCATTGTTACCGATCATGCCTGTCTCTGTTTGAGTCTCCGCCTACTTGCACACAGTATTTTGGTTTTGCACTATTTTGCCGATGATGCATAACGAACCTGTTTTGCCGACGAGGCAGACTGAGCCTGAGCACCGCTTCCCATGTGTCTTGTTCCAACACTGCCTCTCATCGCTGCACTGCTAGTTTGCAGGCTTGCACTGCTTGTTTGCAGGCTTGCACTGCTTGTTTGCAGGCTTGCACTGCTAGTTTGCAGGCTTGCACTGCTTGTTTGCTGGCCTGCACTGCTAGTTCGCTGGCCTGCAGTGCTAGTTTGCAGGCCTGCACTGTTAGTTTGCTGGCCTGCACTGCTACTTTGCTGGCCTGCAATGTCATCATCGCCTGTCTTCCACCTCGGCCCTCCTCCTCTGAAAATTAAGCCCCGACCTTCCTCCCTCCCCTCTGACCTTTCCATTCCCCCACCAACCAACAGCACCCTGCTCGGACTTGTGAAAAGCCATGACAGAGCCATGACTCGCAGCAGCAGCGGCAGTCGGGGCGGTGAGGATAGAGGCAGTCAGTGGCGAGTGGATAAGGACTCCCTTCTTCCATTGACCCAGCAGCTCACTTAACAACAGTGATGCTTCTAAGATTACTCGCAGATTCACCTGTATTATTTTTAACGGGACATGTTTCATAATCAGCTCTATAGCTCAGTTGGTTAGAGCACACGTTTAGTAAGCGGGAGGTCTTGAGTTCAACTCTCAATGAGAGCAACATTCTAATTTCGCTAGTTGTTGAATGAGAATACGTTTTGTTCTTTGTAACTTGACACCTGCTCCGCTCTCCGCTCCCCCTTCCCCTTCACATCCCTTCTCCTGAACCACATTCCTCTGCTCTCATCGTCTTTCGTCTTCCCCCCACGTCCCTTCCCTTTCCTTACCTTTCCTTTCCTTTCAAGTCCTCCCTTCTGCTCCCTCCCTGGCATCTCCTTGTACTCCCTCTGCCCTCCCTTCCTTATTCCATATGTTCATCCCCATACCCAGCATCCACCGCCACTCCATTCATCTCATCGTGCCACGCCCTTCATCCCATCATGCTATGCCCCTTCCTACATCACCCCATGCACGAGCCGAGTGTCTCCCCCCCACCCGCATCCTCCGCCTCTGCCCGCCTTCAACTTCCCCTTTGCTCCCCCACTATCTCACAGTAGCCATACCATCTCACTATAGGCACCAGTTCTCCTTCCCTCCCTCCTACATCAACCCATGCACGAGCCGAGTGTCTCTCCCCCTCCCGGCCCTTCACCTTCCCCTTTGCTCCCATCGTACCATCTCACCCCCCCCCCCCCCCCCCCCCCCCCCTTCTCAATGGGACGTTGTCACGTATCCGTTGAGTGCACTGAGTAGCACCGCGTGGCACCGATTAGCACCGAGTGGCACCGAGTAGCACCGAGTTGCACCAACTGGCATTTGATGTAGGCATGCACTCCACAAAAGCACGGTGTCGCGAATGGCTGTTTGCAGGGAGAGAGTACTCTAACCCGCTCGCTTAATTCGTGAACTAGTAGCTTCATTGCACAAACTTCTAATAGTGTTTTTGTTCGTTCTTTCTTCTTCTTCTTCTAGTGTTTTTTTTTTTTGGCATCCCTCGCTCATCGACGTGCAGCTCATCTCCCGGGTCCCCTCATCCATTCCCTCCTCACTCCACATCCTCGCTATAAGCGTTATTTCTCTGTCATACCTTTTCTGGATCGTTAACTGAAGCACATCGACTTGCTCTATGAAAGGACTGTAGTATCAACGACTGATTTGTATTCTGCCTACCTTTTCAACTGTAATTTCCACCATTCATTCGTCTGCCTTTCCGCAGGATCTGAAGAGGGCGTGGGATGCCATGTGGAGGGCCAGAGACGCACAGGTGGCAATTCTCCTTCTTCCCCTTGGTCAGTACATGCATAGTATTGGTCAGTCATCACAAATCCCCACAGGCTGCCGGTCCCATACATCCTGTTCCCCTCCTCCTTCTCCTCCCCCTCCCCCTTGCCCTACCTACCTGCATGCATGCCATTGCGTGACAATGCACAGCACAGCTGCTGGGTTCATTTTTTTAGTCGACTCTCTTTCCCTAATCCACCATCACACATGCATTGCCTCCCCACATAGACCCCTCTCCCGTCCCCTCCTCTCCACCTGCAGCCCACCATACGGCAGCGCGCAGCAGCATCACAGGCTCGCCGCAGACTGCTGACGCGGCTGGACGCGCAGCTGCAGCACTTCACTGTGGGGTGGGGCGGTGTTGGATGTCGTGGGGCGGAGTGGGGTGGGGCGGGACATGGTGGGGTGGGGTGGGGTAGGATGGGGAGTGGTGGCGAATGAGGTAGGATTAGGGTTTGGGCCACCACATGGCAACATGGAGCGCTCTGCAATCGCGGCTCCAGCACAGCAGCGGCGTGGTGTGGCTGGCTGCTGGTTAGATAGGTTTCTGCTAGACGCTGCCTGCAGCAGCACTGCTTGCCTTGACTGTTGAGGCGCCTCAAAGGTTGGTTTCTGCTGGACGCTGCAGGCAGCAGCACTGCTTGCCTTGGTAGGGTGAGGTGGAGCGCTCTGCATGACGACTTTTGAGGCACCTCAAAGGTTGGTTACGGCTGGACATTGCAGCAGCAGCCCTGCTTGGTGGGGTGGGGTGGGGTGGAGTGCTCTGGATGCGCGGCTGTAGCACAGCAGTGGGGTGGTGTGGCTGCTGCTGGTAAGGCTTCCGTTGGTGGGGTTCATTCTCCCTTTTCTAAATCCCCATCATTCTCCCTTCTC